GCACTAATGACTGTCCACTTCATGTTCATGGCGTCAAGCAGGAGGGCTGTGTGTCCGTCGATGCTGAACTGCCAGGACGCGCCAGTGCATTGCTCTGCTTCACGCCGACAACACAGCTTGGCCTGCAGGGTGGGAGGACCTGCCATCCCACAAAAAGAATCATCCTGGACCCTCCGGAGCCCATCCTTCCCCAGTGGCTCAAGTGTCTCTGCACATTAGGGGCCTATGTTCTTCTCCCCATGACTTGCCCGTTCTTGCCCATTAAGTGCATCGTGTTCTATGGTTGGACCCATGGTCAGTTCTTTCAAATAAAACCCCTTCCCCGCATGTGCTCTGCTCTGTCCCCTCTCTTGCTGACTGTCTCCATCTCCCCACCTGCTTCCCACACTTACCCTTGGTCTTGTTTTTGTGTGGTTTCAAGACAGGCAGCATCATTCTGAGCTCTCGCCCTATTTCTGCCAGCTGTGGGCTCAATTCTGTCCATGCTTTGGTTGCATTTACTTCCTCCCCAAGAAGACCTAAAGGTTTGATCTTGTTGCCATCACTGTCGTAGTGGAGGAAAGGCTTTGTATCCACCAAGCCCTGAACCTCACACCAGGGCTGTCCGGGTCTGGACTGTGATTTGATGGTGTGGTCGAAGCAGAGAGAATGAGCATCTGTGAGAGAGAAACATAGGGGTGTCCCCAGAGATGCCCCCTGAAGGGCCTGGCTGCAGAGGGAGGAGTCTCCATCCCAGACACCCTCCATCGGCTGCATCCTTAGTCCTACTTCACTTTTAACTGAGGATTAATAAAAAACATTTATGCTACCATGGACCCCTCAGGGGCACATAATGTTCCCGTAAGAATTCATCTGAGAAATATTTGTAGCTCTATAAACAACTTGTGAATTAACAAAATACAAGATAGTATCTGTCCTCCAGGGACTTAAAATCTGTATGAACAGGCAGGACTTTCCACAAAGGGAAAAAAGACACCATAGGACACATGTCACATACAGTAATCACTAAAGGCTTCCTGGAGTAAAAGGTAGGATTTGCCTACAGGGAGAGAGTTGTCACAGGAGCACTGGAGCAGGGATAATGCCTTTGGCTGGGGCCAGGCAAAGCAGGTGTAACATCCTGGGCAGCCAGCCCAGCTGAACCACACCCTCACTGTCCTAAGAGAGCACCTGGATGCGCACCCACCAGTGTGGTGCCCTTTCCCTTCCCTCCCTCCCTCCCATTCTCCCCTCTCCCCAGCCAGGTCTGGATCCCAGGACACTCACTGCCCAGTGTCTTGTCGAGTCCTATAAGCTCCAGTATCAGCAAAAGAAGACATTTAGTCTGAGATGCCGGCAACATTCTTCCCATCAGTTTTAGGACAGTAACCTACAAAAGAGGCCTGGTGTGCATCTATGTACATTCACCTCTGAGCACTGCCCCGAGTCCTCAGTCCAAGACCACTGAGGAAGCTCTACTGAAAAACAATGCAAAGAACAATTATACCACGGGAGTATTTTGCAAGTATTCATTATGTAATTCCTCATTTAAAAAAAAGAGGTAACATTTAAAAGTAAATTCACTTTGAATAACCTTCCTCCCCCCTACAACCCCCTCAACTCCCAAAACCCTCTTCCTCTTGGAGCAAAATAATGTGAGCTCCTCTCTTCTCTTTCCACTCACCGTTTCCTCTAACCTCCGAAGATAACTTCCTGTTTTTTGTTTTTTTTTTTTTTTTTGCAGCTTCTTTTGTCTCTTTTCTGTCCCCCTTCCACCGTCTTCTCATATTTTCTCCGACCTCCACTCTCCCACTCCTAATCTTTCACATTTTTTCTCTTTAATGATTCAGATTCGCTCTCACCAAGTACACCCCACTGTTAAATCAAACTAGCCGCAGGTAGCTGGCATCCGGTCCATCAGAGGCGGGTGGACCGCCGTGCCTGGCGCCTCCTTGCGGGCGCTGGGCCGCGCTGGCCTCGGCCGGG